CTCTTTAATAACTAAATCTAATTTTTCTTTCATCTTACTCAATTTCATAGTTTATTACACCTATCCCCTTCAATAAAATTGAATTTAATCTAACAACTATAAAATCAAACATAACTTGATAATAAGTAACTTTTATTTGCCTTTCAAAATTGAGAAATTCAAGCCTAATAATGTAGACCACTTATTTTTTAACAACATAAGCAAACTTTCCTTTTTTTTCTTCTTCTTCTCCTTATTTTTTTCTTCTTTTTCCTTTCTCTTTTCTCTTCCTCTTTTCTCTCTGCCTCATTTCTTTCCAGTAGTGTTTGTGTATGTTTTGTGTGAATAATGGATTTTTATTTGTTTTGTAATGGTTTTGGATTGGATTGATATGTTTTGGATTGGATTGATATCAATCCAATCCTCCACCGCCTTAATCTTTTTCTTTTGTCTCATTTTTTTTTGTTTTATATAATAGTATGACATATTGACTTTTCATTTTGTTTTTTTTTTCTTTTTTTTTTCCTTCTAAGTTAAGCTAGTATAGGATAGAAGTCTAAAATGCGTTAAAACGTGAAAAGCCAGGAAGCACCGTCACTCAATTCTCTTTTCTTCTATATGTTTTTTATTATGAATTTGATTATGTCTCTTTTATCTATCATGAACTAATCTTCTCGCCCAGGGTTTAATGTAATCAACACTTAAAACTATGTTTTGATTTTAAATAGTTATTTCATTGAGATTTTTCGTTACGTTTATTTGTGTTGTTTGAATTTAATATTCCCAATTATCTGGTCATTGGTTAAATGATTTGATTGTTTTAATTTGAAAACTCGAGGGAGGGAACCTTAGACTTGATCGTAGAATAACATAATCTAGGTTTTATAGGTTTCGGGAGAAATTATAAACCTTTTGGAGCGATTTCACGTAAGAACATTAAAACTTGATAATTCCTAAACTTTTAATTCGAAATAGAGATATTGGAATTGAATTCTAAGAATAACTTTTATTCGGCGCTTGAGAGAATGTGTATAATTACATTAAGGTTCTTGCCTATAAATTTGAAAAAATAATAATAATAATAATTAGAGATAACTATATAATTGAAAAACATAGTCAATGTTTAGATGCAATAATAACCCTAGACTTTTCTTATAGGGATTTGCTATAGAACCCCTCATAATAGAGGGCCCACAATTTTTTATTGGACGTGGGCCCCTTATTGTAAGGGGCTGGACATCGAAGTGTCAACCTCGATGTACAGGTGGCAAAACCCTTTCTTATATTTACGAGTCCTTAAAACTTGCATAAAATTGTTGAATATGTCAAAACATTCAAGTAGATTTAGATAAAGATATTGATTATAAAATCAATTGTCTAGATAAAATAAGTGCTATATTATTATAGTACTTAGGGAGAATTCAAATTTTAATCCTTGTAAGTTGAACATAATAACTAAACGGAATTGTTGTATAGAAAACTCCTAATAGTGGTGCAAATATGATGTTTTGAAAAAAAAAAAAAAAATGGTTACGACAATGATAATGGTGATGGGTGTTGGTGATGTACAACCATGGCATGTCTATGTAGACTGGCAGGGTTTGTATAGAGGACACATAGAAGGATGTAACAATATTTTATTTCAAATTTTATTTTATTTTCAATCAAAGAGTTGATCGAGACAACTTTTAAGTAAAAAAGAAAAGGGAAAATTTCATTGTTGATCATCCAACACTTTAATTGAATTGCGAATTGGTCATCAGTCTACAAAATGGAGCAAGTTGATACTCAAAGTTTCAATTTCATTGCACCATTAGTCCCAATAAATAAATTTCATTCAAAAATTTGTTAAAAAGGCATGTACCAGTACGAGGAAACAGATGCACGGTTATGGTGGTAATTGGTAAAGAAACACGAAAGTATTACTTAAAAATATAGGGAGGAGGGGGAAAAAAAAAAAGAAGGAAGAAGAACTCAAAATGTTTTCTTCAAACACGTCAACCCGATGCCCTCAAGTTATGCCAACAAACCCAACAACAACACCTATCCATCTTTAAATATGGAAGAATTATCTTCTTAATAAAAAAATGGTCATTTTAGTGGAATATTGGATAAAAATCATCTGCGATGCACGTTGCATGGTATCCATGCTTACATTTTCACCAACTTCCATCTCATCCTAAACTTACATTTATTTTGTCATCCTTAATAATAATAAAAAATGAGTTGTACAAGTAAATAAATTTCTTAAAAAGTTTTAAATCTTTACCTTTTTCCCCAACAACGCAATGTTGGACAAGCTTTAGTGAAATTGAGCATGAGTCGATATTTAGTAGCTTGCATCCTATGATTTTTTATCTTGGTAAATTGATTACGAAACACAATTTCATGAAGTGGGTAACCCCCAAAATGGGTTGACACTTTTTTGGTTATCTAATGTCTCGAAATCTCAAACTAATTTCTACTATCTAAATTTTTAGCTACTTAAGTTGTTAATTTTCTTTACTTTTCAACAAATAGGGACTTCTTGTGAACCTATTTTGGAATATATGGACGAACTTATCATCTCATAAGTTTAACACCCAACTTGAACACAGTCATAAAGTTAGAAACCAGCAATGCAGTTTTTGTTGAAAGAAAATTTTATCTCGACCAGTACACTGAAATTTCTTTTTCAGAAAGATTCTCGTCTCATAGCTCTCTCCATTTCGTATTTCCGTTTCTTTCATATTATGGAGTCAGCGGCTCCTGGTTCATCACAATAATCTCTCTCTCCCTCAGATTTTAGCTTCTCATCATCGTCGTCGGCATCATCATCTTCCCTAGAGTTCGGTTCATCACAATCATCATTTACTCACAATCTAGATCGATGATTAAGATCAAGATTCTGTGATGTCCGAAAAGGATTCTGAGAATGAACAACAAGTAGAAGCAGATCAAGAAGAGGTAGTGATCATCAAGAATTACAAGAGAATGATCAAAAAGGAGATGGTGATGATGAACAAGAATCAGAAGAGAATGATGAAGAAGATGGCTATTATCATCAGGAAGAAGAAGAAGACAATGATCAAGAAGGAGATGCTACGTGCTGATCGTCAAGAATCAGAAGAGAATGGTAATGAAGAAGATGGCGATGATCATCAGGAAGAAGAGGAAGATAATGATCAACAAGAAGATGAAGATGGTGAAGATTAGCAGGAAGAAGAAGAGAATGATCAAGATGATCATCTGGAAGAAGAAGAAGAAAAAGAAAAAGAGGTTAGTGCTCTAACTCTACCTGCAGAAGAGAATAGCCCACGTTCTAGCCACAAAAGGGGAAGATTCCTCCGGAGAACAAGAACAATATCAAGAAGAAAAAGAACAGCAAGTAGATGAATTTGGTAATGCAGATCAAAACTCTCATGCTGATTTCACTCCATAACAAGGAGGAAGAGGAGGTGGTAAAGAATAAGAGTAAGATCGAGTTAACTAGGAAAAATGAAATGCCCCAAAGTGGAAGAAAAACAATTCGATACAAACAATCTCACTCGCTCCTGTAGAGGGGAAGGGCCGGGACTCAAGTGGGGTTGGAGAGAATTCAATGTTAATATCAGAATTTAGGTTTCAGAAATCCGATTTTAGGGTTCATAAATGGGGCCCTGGATAATTGTAAATATTACATTCATAAATTCATTCGTTCAGATTCAGCCGGTTTTGTAATTCCAGGAAATGGATTTCAGAATTCAGACTTTAAGGTTTAGTTTGTGTTCATATACAGGACAACGGAATTGTGAATTCATAGTTAGGAATTAGGTCTAGCATTCATAGAGTTCCGTTTGGGTTTGATTTTTCATTCCAAAAAATAAATTTTTTGGCCGTTACTTTTTCAGTAAGCCATAATTTGTTACTTCTTCATCCACAGATAGGACTCATTTTTCACTCTAACAGTCAAAAAATCAATTCTCATAATCAATATCGAACAGACCCAAATATTCAACATATTTCCTTAAAAATACAACTATCTCACTTTTAATTAAAAATAAGAAGAAAACAAAATAAAATAAAAACATAAAATATACTCGGATTATTAGATCACGTTGAGATGCATTCCACGTGTATTTTCAATTAAAATTGTAAATCTTAAGCGATATACGGAGGAAACAAGTCACAACATTGAGTGCTTGATTCAAATATTTTAATACTCGAAATCATTCATTACACTTAGGTATGTCATAAAATCATTTGAATCCTGTAATTATTGGAATTGAACTTGAATATCATGTGAACTCATTTTGGGTCTGTTTGGGATGGATTTTTTCTCTCAAAAATTTGATTTTTTGACCGTTATTTCACTATTTCAGTCGTCATATTTGACTTCTTCTTTCACAAGTGGACCCCATTTTTTTATTACTTTTAATAGTTTCTTTAAAAAGGGGGGGGGGGGTTCTTTGTGAGAAGTGAGATCTTAAATACGGAAAAAGTTAAGGACCTAAGACATAATTATCCAAACATTTGGATCACGTCTGCAATTTTCTTAAAGTTGACACTACACGTGCATACACAAACAAGCAGTAAAGCATAAAAAATCAAAAAAATAAACTTGGAACAATGGCGGACGATAACACAACCAACAGCATCGGAGAAATCAAAGAAGAAACCCCTTTAATATCGACCCAGACCCTAGACCCGAGTCCGTTAAGAACTCGATCTGTAAGCACGAAGGTGCTCGAGGCGGAGGTGCACGTATATCGGCAAGGGAAGGGCCCGATCGAGGTGTTTAAGACTGACCTCGGGCGAGTGGGACCAGGATTAGCTGGAGATCCGAGATATTCTCAACAAATATGGGTTCAAGATGGCTTACGCCTTCAATCCCGGGTCGGGCTGAGGCATGCCCATCCGGTTCAGCCCCCGTAATGGCTGATCTTTGTGAGAAGTGAGATCTTAAATACGAAAAAAGTTAAGGACCTAAGACATAATTATTGAAACATTTGGATCATGTCTGCAATTTTCTTAAAGTTGACACTATACGTGCATACACAAACAGGCTAGCATAAAAAATCAGAAAAATAAACCTGGAACAATGGCGGACGATACCACAACCAACAGCATCGGAGAAATCGAAGAAGAAACCCCTTTAATATCGACCCAGACCCCAGACCCGAGTCCGTTAAGAACTCGATCTGTAAGCACGAAGGTGCCCGAGGCGGAGGTGCACGTATATCGGCAAGGGAAGGGCCCGATCGAGGTGTTTAAGACTGACCTCGGCGGGTGGGACCAGGATCAGCTGGAGATCCGAGATATTCTCAACAAATATGGGTTCAAGATGGCTTACGCGTTCAATCCTGGGTCGGGCCGAGGCATGCCCATCCGGTTCAACCCCCGTAATGGCCGATCCTTGATCACTTACAGTGACGGTGCGGTTGTTCACATTGACGGCGAGCCCAAGGTCAAACATCAAAACTTGAATATATGCTTGCACTAATTTGTATATATAGGTGAAATTTTTCATTATTTTTCTGGAAAAGGCAATTAGGAAAGCCGAAATGAATTTGCAATGAAATAATGATTTGAATAATTGTGTCTAATAATGAGAACTTGAGAAAATAATTGAAATCAAAATTTCAATTCTGAGGCTCAATTTAGTCTACAGGAGAAATTAATCGGACCATAGAAGGTTTAAGGTTTTTATTTGGAATTTACAACTTAATGTTTTTCTTTATGAGAGTAATCAGTATACAGCGTGTTAAAGCCATATTATAACTTAAGGTTTCTCATTAATTACGTCTGATAAGGTGAAAAATAGGAAAGAAGGAAAGACCATTTATCATATTATTACCTCTGGTAACCTTGTTTTTGTAGATTGGTGTTACGAATGTGATTAAATTGCATTACCTGCTAGATTCTTCCCTTTCTTCAATTTCAATTTTTTCTACGTCCCAGTTTTCTTCTAGAATTTAATGCCTTTTCTTTGCATAAACCTAACATACCTTTATTTCACCTTATTTGAGTTTCCAATTGTTTGCAATACGCATTCCCGGTGATAGAGATGTACAGGGGCGGATCCATGATTTTCAATAAGGGGACTGAAACTTAAGAAAGTTAATGCAGTAAAATTTTTGGTAAATGGACACACAAAAACTAGGCACAATTATTTGGTATGAAAATTGAAGAAAAATATATATATGTTTTCACTAGATGGAGCCACTGAATAATCATTTAGGCATCGGATCATATAAACAGAAAAATATTAAACACCAATAGTATAACACGTCACCACTTATTTAACGGGTAATGCACATTGGTCTCAAGATTTGCACATTCCAATATTATTTTGTACTTTATTCTTTTTCAAATGAAATTCACATTTTACATTTTACATTTTTCTACATCTCACCATATAAATTCAAGATTTATTCTTTAAAAATTATATGAATTACCATAACATGTTCAGCTCAGAAATTTCAAGTGAGGAGTGGGATATGATATATAAAGAATATATATAAGTCCAGTTTTCTACATTTTATAATTCAAAACCAGCAAAATGTGAAATCCAACAGAAAAAAATACATAACATGACTAGATTAACAATGGATTTTTCATGTCAAATGCATAATCACCAGAGCCCGTATTGGATTAAACAAATCAAGCAGTGAGATGAAACTCTTTCGACGAGTGTGGGAAGATTGAGGGCAAATTTACCATTCTGTGCAGCATGTTTTGCTCTGGAACTGGGACGAAAATGCCCTTTTTCTTGAAATGCTTGGTTTCAATTTAGCGACCGTAGCAATACCCATTTCCTCAATAAAACCCAAAAATTTCAGCCTGTGAAATTTTCAAAATTCCCAAGGAATGGTGAGACAACCTAGATCCTTAACGATTCGAGTATTACTAAAATTTAAATTAAACTTAAATAAAATGCTTGAAATGAACATAAATTAAATAAAATTTGACATAACTTCGTAAAAATTGTTTTGAACATCTCACGCGGCATTCATCTTCGCATCAACCACCTTGAACCATTAATTTTCTAAAAAAGGAAAAAAGGAATATAATGTGAGATAAAATCTCAATAAGTGTGCATGAGTAAATTTTGTTCTTATACATGCATTTTATGGAAAATTTCATACTTGCATAGAGAGACACGAAAATTGGACCTAACTTAGAGACCCTTGAGCCGTGTGTAGGGTTATGTGATTGTGTAAGTATACAATTATATTTAATATGAAAATGACAAGAGAGAGTAAAGGTGGAGAGACAATCTGATAGAGATGGAGAGGGAGGGTGTAACGTTGATGAGGGCAATCTAGTGTTGGGTTTATCTCCTATTTATAGTGTAAATTTTTGGACCATGTGTAGAAAGGTGAAAGGAAATGTCTAGATGTTAGGCACCGACAATGCATAAATGATGCATTGTCTTGAAAGTTGTCAAATCAATACCCATAATCATGTGGTCAAATTAATTAACTTGCTTAAAATGTGTGAATAATGCATGTGGTTAAATAAATCATTTTTAATCATGACTAGTTGGTATATTTACATATATTTTACACATGATTTCATCTAACTTCCAAATTTAACTTTCGCTTAGGTCCTCAAACTATTTGCTAGTTACCAATACGGTCATTTGACTAGGACAATAATTAATGTCATTAGACTTTAATAATAGCGCACTAAGTCCTAATTTTAAATCTAACAACTAGTAATATAAATTCAAGACGTTACAAATGGCTCCGTCCTTGGGTAATTGAATTAAAATTAGTATGAACTGGGTAAAGATTTATACATATTAAAACTGAAAATCAATATCCAATTTAGCTAAATTTTACTGGATAAAAAGTCTAAATAACATATTCCATATAAATCTAACTCAGAGAAAAAGCTTACAGCCTACCTTGAAACAATGGAGAAGTAGATTCCTTGAAATTGAGCTTATCTCAAAAATTTGAGGACTGATTCAGTGTGTCTGGTTCCAACCACTATGAAAGAAACAGGGAGTAGAGATTATGAGAGAGCGTAAGAGAGATTTTTTAGGGTTTGAGCTGAGTTTTTATTGTTGGGCTTGGGTTACTGTTAATTTGAACATGGGCTGTTGTTGGTACAGAGATGGGTAATGAAAAATAAATAATAAAAACATAGATAACTCATGGACCTGGACTGAGGCTTGGACGGGCTGTAGCACAGGCCAGCCGGTGCCTAGATATGCCTCTGGAGATGTATCCCTTCAATATTTTCAAGAGAACTTCATCAAACTTTAATTTCACATAAACTAAAATTACAAGCTGTCATTCTGTTCTAAGTATGATGAGCTGTTATCCTTCAAGAAAAAGGAGAAATCCCATAGAAGGTTTATACTGTTGCTATATTTTTCTTAGAAGAGCTGTTAGGTTAGTGCAATGCATAATAGCTTCTTAGTGTATGTTTGGCGTGCTTTTCCTTTATGTAGAAGAGCTTCCTCGGAAAGCTATTTTAATTTTTTTTTTTCGGAAACTAATTTCTAAAACAGTTTCCTATTCGAGAAGTGTTTTTAAAGGACGATTTTCCTAAAAGATCTCTTCAACTAGAAGAAGCACTTTCATAAGATTAGTCAAACGGGTCCAAAAATAGCTTTTGGATCTCAAAAGTCTTGCCAAATTGGCCCTTAATATATGTTTGAATTGTTATTCTAGGTTAAAGGAGCTTTCTGATAGACTCCTATCAACGTGGAAAGACCTAGAAGAATTGAGAAGCTTATTCAGTTAGAGTAGATTTATTTAGGGGCTGGGGTATTTTGGGGAATAACAGTGAGATTAGTTGCCTATAAATGTAATGGGGGAGGGATTGGGGATATTCATGCAGAGAATTAGTTGTTGAGTTAGGGGGAGAAATCTAAACCTCTCGAATGCTTAGAATTATTTTTTCAATTTTTGTAATCTTCCTTTTTTTCAATCAAAAAACTCATTTATTCAACATTTGAACTTGTTCTTTCAAGTGGTATCCTATCAAATTGTATCAAAGCACTATCCTCGAGATGACATCTGGGACATTACTTCTGATGAAGAAAATGAATTAGAAGATCGGGTTAGTAAATTGGAAGTGAAGCTTGAGAAAATGAATTCAGAAATAAGAGAGGGAATAGAAGCCATGAAATCTGAATTTCACCATACCATGACATCAATGTTGGAGAAACTAGAAGCAATGATTTGTAAGTTGGATGGACAGGAGCGAGACAGAGAGGGGAAGGGGATAATAAAGAACTCGCCAGAACCTACCTTAAATGTTGAAACCCCTCCAAAGTATAACGAGATGGGATAATACCATGGATCCGAAAATTTCACTCATTATCAATGAAGCAGGAGAACGAACAGTTGGAAGGAATTGTCATGAGGAGTCCAGGGAAGTAGAAAACTATAGTCGACAACTGGAGTCGCTGGTTTCCCTTGGTAGTAATTCTGTTGGCTGGCTTTTTGGAGAGGAGAGGTTCTTCGACCTGAATCAGATCTCGAATTGGGGAGAAATTAAAGCCGCTATAATTTGTTTCGAACTGGAGGCACTAGCTCGGTATCATGGGGACGGAAGCGGGCAGCCATGGTGGTGGGAGAATGTGGAAGCTCCATGGCCGGCAATCTCAGATGCAATGAAGGACGGGGATGGGCAGGCGCTTCAAGGGAAGGAGAAAGGACCGGCACCTACCTCGTCTAACACCACCTTCAAGTCTGAAATCCTACCCGAACTTGATGAAATTGGAGCTACTATATGTGGCCTAAATAGCAGGGAGTACCGGAAGCCATTTGAAATCGTGGCCGTTCCTTTGCCGTCACTACTGGAGGAGGAATTGGATGGTTATCTTGTCTATGGGCTGAAATCATGGGATGGGGTTGAGGTCATGAATTTGCCTATAGTTGTGAGCCAACATATGGAGTTAGTCCAAAGGCTTGAAGACAAGAATGAAAAAAAGCAGGCCCATTTAAATATTGGCCCATTTAAACCTAAAATTAATGCCTATAATCCAAGCCCACAATTTCATTATTTCCCAACCCACATATCTAACCCAAATCACCGGACGTCTTCCCAAATGAACGCTGCCAATCAAAAAAATTCCATAGTCATTGCAATCCGATTGGTGATGGTGACCAAAGGTCAGGTGGACAAAATGGAGTTTCTAATGATGATGAAACTCCAAGTGCAGATTTGACAAAGTCCCATGTTTATTTCGGCTCGTCGAGTTCGAGAAGTGAACATTTTATAGGTAGGTGCAACTGGCTATGGCGTTGTCGTGGATACTATTCTCTATGATGCTCGGACTAGGGTGCGGGTGTCGGATACGGATACATATCTAGGAATCGGATTTTTCTCATTTTAAAAATTAAGATATGGGGATACAGTTTAAAAAAATCCGAATTTTGGATATCGTTACGGGGATATGTCTTATAATTTTTTTCCTAAAAAAAATGATTCAATTAAAGCAAACAACAAATCATGCCATTTACATAAATAATAAAACCTTTAGAGATAACCCTTAATTTATGGCAGTATAAATTATTGATTTTTAAACCACTTAATTCTTTCATTTCTTTCTTCTTTTTCTTTTTGGAAAAGTACACTTACTGAAGGGCAGCCCAACGAGTTACGGAAATTCCCTCATATCATTAACTTCTTCATTGGGCTCCACCCTTTCTGCAAAATTTTGCAAATGTTGCTGCAATCCTCCATAAATTTCTACATATTTCTATCAAAAGACTCAAAACAAATGGTTGTTGTCGCTACAAATGCAAACCAGAAGCAATACTTCACCGTCCATTGTTTTCTCCCTTTTCTAGCCATGTCTGGTTCAAAACCGAGAATCCGAGACATGTCTCGTGTCGGTATCCGTGTCATGTCATGTTGACACGAGTACTTCGCCATTTTTTAAGAGTCCGAGCATCGTTGACTATTCTTATGATAGTCACTTGATCAAGTGAGTCCATCCATTTCAAAGGGCAAACATGTCCCTTTTCCGTAATGACCGTGGCCGGAGTTTTTGCAGAGGAAATTGTGGGGTTGTATGACGAATTCAACAACTTCCACTTTGAGGACAAGGTGGATTTCGAAGGGCAAGTAATGATAGACTCCTATCAACGTGGAAGGACCTAGAAGAATTGAGAAGCTTAATCGGTTAGAGTAGATTCAGTTAGGGGCTGGGGTATTTTGGGGAATAATAGTAAGATTAGTTGCCTATAAATGTAATGGGGAGGGACTAGGGATATTCATGCGGAGAATTAGTTGTTGAGTTAGGGGGAGAGATCTAAGCCTCTTGAATGCTTAGAATTATTCTTTCAATTTCTGTAATCTTCCTTTTTTTCAGTCAAAAAAGTCATTTATTCAACATTTGAAGTTGTTCTTTCAAGTGGTATCCTATCACTTTCTTGTGTCGTTTATTTTGGAAACTTTTTCTGCGTTATAGTTATTTTAAGTTCTCTGCCATGAATGAACTATGTGCATGAGAATTTACATAATGTTTTTTTGCATGGTAATATTAGCTTACAAGCTTTTTCAGCTGTGCTTACGAGCAATCAAAACTTAGTTTTAAGTTACTTATTTTTCTTGTCCAAAATTCTACTTTCAAATTGCAGGTAGTCTTACATCTGCGAAGTTCGTGCTGCTTGCAATTACCAATAGATAGTCAAATTTAACTTGTTTTGTGCCCACTACTTTCAGGATTCTCTTCTCAAGCCTATTACGAAGATATTGTTAGGCGTAGCCGTAATGACCTTCATGATTATATTGGTTATGAAGGAGACTCCGGAATGGATGAAAAAACTCAACTTCTCGGGAGGTAGCTTCCCTCCATGGATCCTGGCATGTGTGGTAATTGTTTTCACTCGAATGAGGAAGAGAACTAGGAGTTTTCTGGAGAAACATCTTCGATGAGCCTTTAACTCGAATTTATGTAAAACTTTTCCAACTTCTCAAGATTTTAATTTGCTATGATCTTTTTGTTGGTGTAACTCATCAATTACAAGTGAGATTTTATGCTTATCGAATGATTTTGTTGGTGTTTTTGGCTTCCATTGGTGATTTTTGGTCCATGAATCCGAGCTACAATGTGAAATGTTACGTATTTTGTAGGGGGGAAATTGCATATACCCACAACAAAAATAATATTTCCTATTATACTATTTAATGATATGTATAATAATAATAGTATAATACTTTAAAACACAAGAAAAAAATACCAAAAGTACTGATATTCAAATATTCTATTTTAATGATCTGTAACTGAAGTTAAAAAGCTTGCATTATGCCAATTGTAAATTGTGATTCCATGGTATATGCAAAATCAAATTCAATTTGATTATGTCGTTACAATGCTGTGGGAAAGGATTTTATCCAACAATGTCAATTTGCATCTATATCAGAAAATCAAAATCCAATTCACTGCCATGCAATCTTTTATCTTGTTGGTTCATCAAATTTGTTGAAGCTATTCAACTGAGTTATAAAGCTTGTTTGGTAGAGCTTTTAAATCAATTAAATTCAATTTCTTGATCGTTACTTTATCATTCCACCCGTTATTTTTGAATTATTCTTTCACGGATAGGACTCACTTTATTTCTAATAGTTAAAAAATCAATTATCAAATTCCCTATCAAACAAGCACATAATTTCTTACAATTCAAGTAATATGCGATCTATGTTTTAAATTACAGAGAGTATAATTTCGGCATAATGTTGAATATAATTTCAACATTATGTGCCTTGCAATCTTAGATCTTGTTGGCTTGTCCAATTTAGGAGAGCTATTCAACGAAATCATAATTTCTTACAATTCAAGTAATACGCAGTCTTCTTTTTTAATTACATATAATGTAATTTCAGCATAATGTTGAATGTTCTAGTGAGAATCCTCGGTCTTTGATCATGTAAGAGGAGAAGCTATAGAACATGATAAAATAGTTCCCTCTAGGCTTAGGCAGGGTTTGGTTTGGGTTGATTTCGACTCTAATCCCGAACCAAAATCAAATCAGTCAGTTTGGATGAATTTCAACCCAAACAAACACACTCAAACCCTTAAACCGGACCGAACTAGACCATTGGTTCGGTTAGTCGGTTTGGACTTTTAGTCCAAATTAATTTATTTTTTTTTTAAATTGTCTAAGTTTTGGCCCAATTAAGTTACAATAACTAAAATAATTTTATATTACATGGATTATTGATTAGGTTACTAGAGACAGATCAGCAGAAAACTTAAAAATTGTGTTGCCCTTTTATACATTAGCATGACCACCTGAGTGGGAAAAAAACTAAGTATAACATAATGAGCTTAAGAAAGAAAATTCTCAGTAATATTACTCACGGGCAACAAAAATTCTCAGTAATATTATTCATCGGCAACATCATAGATTGGAGGGAATTGTGATATAATTATGAGGTTAGAGTTTATCTTTTGATTTTCTTTGTCTTAAATGGTAAATATATAAGTAGGATTGATTCGGTTAACCAGTGGTTTGAAGTTTCAAACCATCACCGAAACAAACCACCATGGTTTTATTTAAAAGAAAATCAAACCAAATCAATTACCTATATCAAACCGAGTCGGTTTGGTTTGATTGGTTTAATCGATTTTTTCGCCGAGGCCTAGTTTCCTCATTTATTTTCTTGCAACATTTAGCCGGAGATGAAGATTGCATTCCCAGGTCAACAACGAAAAGAGGGATGTTCCACAATGTTCTTTTGAGGTTTATGAATCACTTATACTAAAGTAGTCCAAAAGCAACGTGAATGAATACTGCATATTCAAAAAGAGATTCTTCCAAGTTTGTTGTCTCTTTATTTACAAGAGATATACAAAGAAATAAGAATTTTGCAAGGAACTATTCGATTAAGAGAATAGAAGAAATATAGAGCAAAGAACGATAGCAGAGATGACTACCTTCCTTTCGTGAGAAACAAAAGGCCAATGGTAATAAGAATTTATTTATGAAACATTGCTTGACGGTTAGAAACGCCATTGTACATCTTTAAACTTCTGGAACCTTTTTAATTAAGCATTCTTGATAATCCGATAATTTCTCATAAAGAAATTGCTTTGATATAGGTTATGTTGGGTCTCTCAGTAGGCCGATTACATCTTGTTTTGTATCTTGATTCACATAAATTTAAAACTTATAATTGACATATAATTACATCTGAGGCTATGTACCTGCTTTCCTAGATGTTATTCATTTACACAAAGTGAATGATTAACACTATTCCGTCATATATGTATTTGTATACTACACATTTCCTTGCATACTTCTTAAATTGGTAATTATTATGGTGGATTGGATATTGAATTCGTCCAGTCACATATCTATGACATTGTCTCATTCTATGGATGCATGCATGAAGTGTTTTAACATATTCATTACTTGCGATACGAATACATTTGGACTTCTTGTACCAGTCGATTATAGGTTTTGATTACTATTTGTTGTCATGTAATACGGAATGTTATCTTTTCGATCATTTTATTTCATATCTTCATCTATTCATGTTTATGTTGTTTACCAGTTTGGTAGATTCTAGTGCAAGTACTAGTTGGCCATTTCAATGATCATTGCATATTATTCAAATTATCTATCATTTTGTTTGTTATAGAAAGCAGCTAACCCGTAGCTATTAGATATCTTTATTTCATGTGCTATAATGTGCTTGGAGACCAGATGCAGTAGTTTAAAAATCATCGAGTTAGTTAAGTATGTTGACATATGGTCGACTTAATCCTCAATGTTTTGATCGTAACAAACAAGATTATTTCTAACAAATTCTTTTTAGTAATAATAGTTCAATGTTCAAATCAATCATGTATTATCGGACTTCAAATGAAGATCAAAATAAAAGCCATGTATTTAAGTCAAATCATTCGAGATAAAAAGTTTAAGAGATAAATGTCAAGAAAGATCAAGATCAAAAGAGTGAGAGACGACATCAAAGAAAGATCAAGACGAGCCAAACTTCGAAGTAAAGACTTGATTTCTTAGGTAAAATGTAAAGATACTAATGCTTTGATATTTGGCAAAGAATAGTTAAGCTCAAAATCTTGCCATGCATTAAAAATAATTTTTATGCACTAAAATAATTCGAATGCAAACTTTTTTTTTTTTTAATCAAACACGAAAATTATATATGGACTTTAAAGACGTTTTTATTATGAAAATTTAGTTAAAAATATTCTCCAAAAATTCATACACTTCGAAACTTTCAAATCGGAACAAACGAAGTCAAAACGTGAAAAGACCGCACTGTCGGGGCGATCAACCGCCCAGAGAGGCGATCGATCGGACCTCTCCAACGGTCCAAAATTTGACCGTTCTGACTTCTAATTTTTACTGTACAAACGGCTATATTGATCTTCCGAACAAGAGACGGTCGATCGGACGAGTCATCCGCAAATTCAGATTTTTTTAACGTTTTGGACTCTATAAATGCCCCAACCTCTTGCATTAATAATCATCACTTTCAAGAGCATTAAATTGAGATACTTCAAGCTTTAACTCTCTACTCCTTATATATCTTTATCAATTCATTCACTTTTGGAAAACTTTTGATTGAGTTTACTTTTGAAAATCATTGATCAAAGTTTTTCAAACCTAACACTTGAGTTTTACTTATTGCCATTCATTAAAATGTTAGCCTACTTTTCTTCGTTGTCTCAACTTTGAATATATCTTTATTGTGGGAGAAGATTCCTTTTTGTAAAGCTTACTTTTGATTGAATTGTGGGTCGTGTTGAAGTCCCGAAAAGTTCAACGATTGTAAAAGGATCGATGCTCATTGCTTGTAAGTCACTGGAAGCATTGTAAGGGTTGGATTGCACCAAAAGTCAATCAATATAGTGAAAAAGACCTTACTCATGACGGAGAGTTTGGTAACGGAGGATGTAGATCGGTTGAGTTGGATTGAACCTCCTATTAAATCGTTTGCAATCTCTATCTCTTTTACTTATTAGCTTTACCTTATCTTCATTATTCAATTTCATATCTATGCAATAGATATATCTAGAATTAATTTTCGAAAAAGTTTTAATAACCAATTCACCCCCCTCTTGGTTAGTCATTCTTGGACTTTTAATTGGTATCAGAGCGAGGTAATCACTTTTAAAAGATTTTACAATCTTGAGTAATGGCTAACCAAGTATTTCAAACTCTAGAGGGACACTCCACTAATCGACCCCCTTCGTTTGATGGCACACACTACAATTATTGGAAAGTTAGAATGATAATATATGTGCAATATATTAATTATAATATTTGGGAAGTTATCGAATTTGGTCCATATGTTCCTACTAAAACTATTAAAATAGATGGTAGACCAGATCAAACTATTTCTAAAACTAGGGAAGAATATGATGAAGAAGATAAGAGAAAATTGTCCTTAAATGCCAAGGCTAAAAATTTGTTTTATTGTGCACTTGATAGAAATGAGTTTAATAGAATAAGCACATGCGAATCGGCATATGATATTTGTCATGCTCTTGAAGTCACTCATGTTGGCGCAAGCAAGATTAAAGAAACAAAAATAAATTTGTTGGTTAAAGAATTTGAAAATTTCTTTATGAAACAAGATGAGCCCGTTGTTAATATGATTACACGTTTTACCGATATTGTAAATGGTCTTAAAGGTTATGATCGTAAATTTACTAACGGTGAACTTGTAAGTGAAATGCTTAGATCCTTGTCGGAGGAGTGGAGCCCGATAAGAATGTTGATCGAAAATACCAAGGATATAAATGCATATCCTTTGGAGGAGCTCTATGGCACATTAATGACCTATGAGTTAAATAATGCCGAAATTAAGTAGAAAACAAGAAAAAACAAGGAGGAATCAAAGGAGCCTCACAAATGACAAATTGCACTAAAATTGGCAATTGAATAAGAAATATCAAAAGAAGACATGAGCGATGAAGAGCTCGATGACTTGGTTCTTCTTATCAAGAAATTGAGAAGCTTTCGCAATAATCGAAAATTTCAAAAGAAAGAAGAAAAGGGGGAAGAAAGAAGCAAAAAGATTATTTGCTATGATTATGATA